AAGTAATTTTGGGCAACGCCCATATAACCCCAATATATACCCTATCATAATATGGTACTTTCCATTTTCTTTTCCATTATCCCTATATTACCCCACTGTACTCTATAGTACTGGCACCAAAAGTACTAGGAGCATGGAAACGGGATGGTTCATGCTACTTCTAAGGGCGGATGAGGTTTGGTCTCTGGACAAAAAGGCACCGCGCCCCTTGGCGAACATGTAGCGGGCATGGTAGGATGGGAGTTCAGGGTCTACTTTAAAGATTCTTGGGTTTCAAACTAGGGTAATCGATGTCTTGAAGTAGGGTAAGAGTATAGGTGCTGCTTTTCACCCCGCTGCCGATGACCCATGAACCGAGTAGGGTTTCAGGACGTGCGGGGCACGGCAGGTTGTGGTGAAGGGTTAAGAATTCAGGGCTTGTGGTAGGCCACAACATGGCATGTATCGGCATTTTTCTACACAGCTCCTATATAAAACAGCGCTGCACTTACCTTGGACTTCTACAAGTCCACGCAGAGTTTGCAAGGATTGCCGCTGGGCGGTCAGATTATGAGCAGTGCTTTAAACCCCCGGAGTCTTCGGTGCTTCCTAAAATCGGTCCATTTTCTCATTCCCTGGCACTGGGATTGTTTGTTTGAGGTGATAATGGGTAGAGGGGAAATCCAATGTTGAGAGCTGCACATGTAATCACATGTGGCTGATTATAGAAGCCCACTCCCAGTCAACACAACGTTCATACTTGTATATTTAAATGCTCGTTTCCCTAAACAAGGGCCCCAAGATAGACCCCAAAATACGGTGATTCTTATTATAGGGACCCACAAAATTGTACCCCTGATTTTCGGAAACCACCAAATCACAGTCTACCATTTCTTTTCCATTATCCCAACATAGCCCTAATATTAACCCAATGGGTACTATACAATATAATTCTACATATCCCGTAGTAGTAGTAGTTTCCATTTTATTTTCCATTATCCCTATATAACCCCCATATATACCCCATTAAACTATAGTAGTTTCCATTTTCTTTTCCATATAACCCCCATATAGACCCCATGATACTATAGTAGTTTCCATTTATTTTCCATTATCCCTGGGATTCACTCCAATGTGTGACATAGTGCAGAGTCCTCTTAACACCTTCCGCACTGAACCAATGACCCTACGCCCCTGTATGTAGGGCTTTATAGGGTTCTGTAGGGGTATATTGGGTTATATTAGGGCTATATGGGGATAATGGAAAAGAGAATGGAGATTGAACCTGTGATCCGAAGCCCGAAGCGCGAAACAGTTCATCCCAGGAAATCCGAACGCAAAGGGGTCTTTCTCGCACTCCGACCCTCTGAAGTGGGGCTTTGCGTTCGGGGACCCAGCAAACGGATTGTAGGGCTTCGCGCCACCCAGTATCTCAGCCGTAGCAATATCATACCATTCATGAGGGGTCCTTCTGCCATCTCCGCAAGTTGAAGAGCTTTGCATTTGGAAGGGTTGGGGCTCAGGCTTGCAGGCTCAAGGCCCCGGGCTCAAGTGGAAAAAAGGGCCACCAGATTCGTAGCTGAGCTCGGATTTGGGGTTCAGGGCTTTAGGGCGTAGGGAATAATAGTAGCAATAGTGATACTAATAGTAATCGTATATGGGGGTTATATAGGGATAATGGAAAAGAGCATGGAAACCATCAATTTCTTTTAGTGTCCATTCCTGGTTTTGCGACTTACAGTCAGAGCACGGCAAAGATTACGGTCCTTAACCCTAAACCCTAAACCGTAAACCTAAACCCTAAAACCTGAACCCTAAACCCTATCTTTGCTTCCCCGTCTGCCTCGGGTAGGTTGGCAAGAGCTCTTTTGGGGAGCCTGAAGGTGTCCTAGGAGGGTCACCGGGACTTATTTAGGGGATATAAGGGTAATATTGGGGTTATATTGGGGTTATGTGGGGATAATGGAAAAGAAAATGGAAACTACTATGTTATTGTATGTTAATTATCCCTCTAACCCATATTATTAACCTACTTGTTAAGTCCCCATGACCCTCCCGGTAGGCGTCAGATAACGTCGAGTAGCAGTTCTGTTGTGAAGCAGGAGTTCCTTTCTTCCAGGATTGGCCATGTGTGCTGCAGATGTATGGGTAGGATGATGCAGGATGAGACATGTTGCAGATTTGATGTTAGAAAGCGTCTGCCTGAATCACGTATACTCCATGGCCGAAACTCTCAACCCTTTGACTTTGACCTCTTTGCTTGTGAGCACGTGGAGGATAACCTGCGCCTATGCTAAAAGAGCTTTGCATCAATTGGCAAGGCGTCTGTTGCCAGCTTTTATCCACCAGAGCCCGTTTTGAAAAAGATGCTTCTTTCATTTTCCGCTCATTCAACAGCATAATTGATCTGAACTCCGCCGGCTCAAGCCCCAGAAGCAATCTGGGACACTCAGGGTTTTGGAAGGCAGAGAGGGAATCCAAGCACCTTGTTTGTGTGCCACTGGAAAACCTCAAGAAATTATCATCAGAAACGTGCACGCGCGCACAGTTACAATGATTGAAATTGCGTAGTGCTTTCCGCCCGCCTGACTTAAGTCCACATACTCAAGAATCACACGTTGTTCTTACAGACAGATCGCGTCACCTCGCAACCTAAACCTCATTGTGTTTCTGGACCTGTTGGGCACTTTCTTCCTCATTCGACGCGTCTAGCTTCCCAGTCCCACGTCTGGATTCATATTTACAATTGGAACCATGGGTCGCTAGCGCGGTTCCCCTGACTGGGTGTCCTGACACAGTATGCTAGTCCACGATGCCGGGGGCGGGTGGCTAGAACCTTTCTTGTAGGTCTACAGCTTTTAGTAGTGCGTTAGCAGAACCCAGCTATGTGCCTCTCGATTCACAGTCACCTAGGTCAGTTATTGCATATATGCGTACTTATGAACAGCCAGTAAGTGCAAGGGACCTGAATTTTTCACGCTACCCCGTCCACCCTAAACCGCAATCCCTCCAACCTTAACCCTGCCACCGCGCAACAAATCGAATTCTGGACCATGAGCTCTAAACTCCAAATCCTAAACCACAGATCCTAAATCCCAAGCTGCATCCATATAACAGGAGCAACATCAAGGGCAGTATTTACATGTACTCTACTTTATTATATATTTGCTACTGCGTGGGGGCAGTATCCAACCTATGTGAAAAGGGCTTTTGGTTTGCATGTCCAACATGTACTGACTGGGAGCAGTCTCCAACCTGCCTGAAAACCTCTGGCCTGAATATGCGAAGCCCGAAGCAATCTGTCGGCCTTAGTCCTTGAACCCTCATTTATAACCGTGTGTGCAGGCAGGTGCCCCTATTCTTGCAATTGTAGGTTACATTTGAGTTTTGTAACACACCTATATTGAAGCTTAGAGCTTCAGATCAAGCAGCTACACTTTCCCAGGCTCAGTGCCACAGGCCAGCCTCTCGATCTGTCGAGGCCCGGGCATCGTCACAAGAAGTAGGGGTTTGTTGTACCCGTGTTTTTGAGCTGACAGGTGCATATATGGGAGTTTTTCTCAACTATCCCCCGTATGTGATCCCTGCACATCCCTCAGGCCCTGAAGGCCGCCCCCTTCTTTGAAAAACTCCCACACGGGGTGTCCATAAGCAAACATCCTACTTTGTATGAGCCTAAAGCAGAAGAGCCCTAGGCCCCTGAACCCTAAACCCCTGAACCCCGGAACCCGAAACTCACTGCTCTGGGTAGATTTTAGGGTTTCGGATTATGGTCGAGGCTTAGAGCTCGGGAGTATCTAGATTCTGCCTTTCCAGGACAGTTTGAGATATTATCCTTACACCGCCTTGGTATTCTACGATCTATACCGCCAAACACTGTTCTTTTCATTTGGCACCAACATCAGATCTTGTGAACGTGTACGTGCCCCGGGGTGCTATCCACCCTGAAGGCCTTGTTTGATTAGAGCTGATTAGGGCCAGGCAAAGTGGAGTAGGCGAGTCTCGAGGTGTATAAGAAAGCCCCAACCCTCCCTCATAGGGATAAGGGTTCAGGGATTAGGGCTACGCCCCAACCCTATACAGGAGACAGGCGGTATCCGTCTGAGGATAGCATGTCACCGGGTGAGTGCTTTGGAGCTGGGGTCAAGGAGTCTGATTTGATACTTTGAGGGCTCCAGTCGACATCCAAGGTATGTTATTGGATTCCTGATTGGGGAAGGGCGTCGTGCTAAAGAACAGCATGTTTTTGATTTGCGAGTTCTTGTCTAAGAAAGCATGTAGCCTGTGATCAGGGATGCTGGGGTGTTACAAAAACATATTCTTCCACTCCAGCTGCTCGCGCTCAACGTCATTGAGCTGTTGGCCATAAACGGTCTTTTTATTGACGCTGACGGTTTGCGACACAATGTCTATACTTCTCTCGAATCCTCGATGGGGAACCCTATATCCCATACACCGTATGTCCCTACGGTAGGGTACCCGGAGGCCCGTTATTTTGAAGAACTCTCCTTTGACCGTTGTTGCGTAACGCCTGTGCCTTTTTCACCCTAGGCACCCAAACCTGAAACCCAGCCAGCTGCGATTCAAACACCTCAAGCCCTAAACCCTAGAAACATGCTGAAGTCTCAAGTTTGAAGTTCTTGCTCCCTTGATCGCGGGTCCTTTTATACTTGGTATTTGCCCTTCGTGTACTTTTTAACCCACCTAAAGAGGGCGCATTTTAGATTAGGGACCCATACTTCCAACTATGCATGGATTCCTAAGGTTCCAAGTACCTACGTTGTAGACGACTAGGATCGATTTCTCGTCAGGTCCTTGGACCCTTAAGGAAAGAGTCTTGGGCAAAGTTGAACCCTTAGCCCTAAACCTTTAACCTTCTGCCTTGAGGCGACCATCCCGAAGTTCAACAAAGTTGGCGCCACTGATGCCAAAGCCGCCTGGGCAGAGGGAAGTCTGAGGGTCCTTAGCCCTGAATAGTCTGGTAACTCCAAAGCCCAAACATAAGGATTACTTCTGGGTTCCATCGGGATGATTCAGGGCTGTATAGGGGTCGTACTAAGGGGAGTTTGGCAGCCTCAACCCCTACGATAAGAACTCGAGCGGAGTCATACTATATGAGATTCCTCAGCCCTAAACTCATGTGTTCCGTATAACCAGTCCCCTAGTTCCATCTGCTAGCTGTCGTTCACCGTAATTATCCCTAACAAGGGTGTTGCAGGGGAACTCTTGATAAACCCGAAACCTGTTTGGAGTCTGGGGAATCGGGAAGAAGTGCTTGATCAACTCGCTAGCATGGAACCACTACGGCAGAAGCTACACAACTCGGGGATTCGAGAATAGGGACCGTGCAAAGTTAGCAGCAAAACAGCTTAGGTGATTCTGCAGTTTGCGGTCGAGGGTTCAAAGTTCAGTTGAGATGCTGCGTTGGAGGTATTGCATCAAGACCCTTTGTCGATTCTGTTGCTGCGTTAGCAGTATCGATATCTTCCTCCTTGTTGTGTGGTCAACTTCCGTAGAAATTGCTTCTGCCTGTTCGAGCTTCTGGCCTCCAACATGTTGCTTTGCCGTATCGAAAGTGTTGCGCCCCAGTATTTACAATCCACGCGCAGCTGAAATGGCAACGCCGCAACCCTGCAACCCTCAACACACGCCACATCCCAAGTACACCCTCAAACGGCCACGTACTGCCAACCCGACATTCGGGGCATTGGGATGTTCAGAAGAGACGATCCGAAAGTATGAAGCCCTTTACTGGCTCGTTGTATCTGAGTGGACTGCATAGCGCCAAACCTCACACTGTGACACCTTGAACCCGACACTGCAATTGCAACCGCAGGGAGGATGAGGTCATGCTGGCAAGATTTGTGCGGTTTCTTTTGTTTGTATAACTCTGACAAGCACAATGCCTGCCTTGAAAGATTCTTGAGGGGCCTATGCTAAGACGCATTGTTTGTCTGAACGTTTAGCTTCGAACTTAAGGTTCAGAGTGTGCTGGCTAAGCCGGATCTAGGGACCTCACGTTCTTCTAACATCTGCAGAGAGTTTTTCTGGGGCCTGTGGAGAATACCTGTAGGCTTTAGTGCTGTTTTTTCGTGCAAGGCAGTCGAGACTGCTGCCTTATGACAACTTTGCACGAAGATGAGCTTGAGCTGCTTGGAGGTGTTGATGCTAATGAGTGTCAGCTTGTACAACTTATGATGAGCAAGTCGTGCTCGCGCAAGAAGTATTTCTAATCCAACGACCCTTGTCGGTTGTTTGGTAGCCTCCAGAACTAGGGGGACCCCAGTACGACCTCAAAATACTGTAGTTCTTATTGTCCTACGCCCAAACAAAGGACCCCTGATGTGGGAAACCCCCATGTCTTGAAGCTGAACTTGCCTGCAGGCCGCTGTCCTAATTCAATTGGACATTGAGTTCATTTTAATTCAATTGGACATTGAGTTCATTCTTGAATCCTGAAACCTGAATTTCTAGAGTCTGCAACTACAGTCCGTACGTAGCGTTCCTTCCTTGTGAAACGCATTCAATTTGCCCTGAATCCCGTACTTGTGAAATCAATGCCAGGACACAACCGCCGAAGATCAGAACCCACTGCTCCTTGCCTACTATAGTGTGCAGCGTATGTTGTTTTTGCAGGGCCATTCCTTTTTCCGACGTGCAATTTCTAGGTTCCCTGCGGCGTTTGATGTGACTTTCTGTGGGGTTTTGGAGAAAGCCGCAAGAGTCCAGATTTGTGCCTGGAGTTGGTTTATTCGCTTTCCAAGATACGTACATGTCTGCCTCATAGGGGCCGGCAGAAAGCGAATTCAGGGCTCTGTGCTCGCCTCGGCCAGCGGCAAGCAAAATCCCAAGGCACACGAGAAGTGCTTTGCTGAATACGTTCATTGTCAAGCCTGCCTCAAGATAGAGGCAGACCATCCAAAAGAGAACGCTTCTGAGAATCTAGGCTGGGATGGCAACCATTACTTGAGCTAACACCCGAGGTGCACATTAGGCTGGTCTCACCGCGCCAAGTAGGCATGGAAAAACCTGTGACAATCACGCAGCACCTCCTGTTCTTCCCAGCATGCCGAAAGCCGAAGGCCCTAAACTCTGTGTTTACGTACATGTGGCTCGACCCTCCTTCACCCTCCTGCAGGAGCAATGTTCTTCAACATCCAATCCTACATGCTACATGATGAATCTCAAGATGTCCCACGGGTCACCGCTGTTTAAAACAGCAGTCCCCTGTATGATATTCAGACCCTCCCCGTACCTTCAGCATGTTGTCCCTATCGATGTGTCCAACATCTTGAGACATGCGATGCACATGTGTGACAAAGGATTCGCATCATGAGGAAGGCCGGCCTGCCAAAAGTTTCAAGGATTCTTATCAACAGGGTTTCCAGGCTGCCAAGGAGAGGAGGAGAGGGGCTCAATGATTTACTGGCAGGCTCACATTGTGAAAGGCGTTCTTGGCCCCAGATGGGAAGCCCCGACGGTTGGCATTTGGTTGGCAAAATCACGGTCCCAGTATCCTTCCCGATTATACGACGGCCTCAAAAAGTAGGGCATCCTACAAGAGACCGTAATTCTTCAAGTTCCTTGCTCCTGGCTGCAGGCACGTCCGCAGACCACTGCAGCATCCGTGGACGAAAGGCAGCTGCTTTTACCGGGGTTTGGCAGCGATGTGTGCGTGCTTCTGAAATCTAATCCCCAAGCTCTTCAAGCCTAGGCTTTTGTAAGTACTGATGAAAGCTCGATGTGCGGATGCCCCAACCTGAAGACGCAGGATGTAGTGGATGGCAGGGAAGTGTCGACCTACTGATGGTTTAGGGTTTTGGGGTTTTGGTTTGCCAGGCTGCTCCGTACAGGGTTGGACGTGCCTGAATCCAGGCCCGTAAGGGCTTAAGTCAGTGGAGATCCAGAGCTTCCAGTTTTGCGACTTTTTAAGCCACCTTATGGATGGAATCATGGTGTTTCCGTGTTTTTGCTTGGGGTTGACCTGGAGGGTATTGCTTTCAGGCAGCAGGTGGCTCATTCCGCACTCTGAAAGCAACGCGCTCCTGAATAATCCCCTCCCCCTAATATTCCCCCCCCAAATATCAGATTCTCCCGATATAGTATATTATACCACATTATTAGGGGAGTGGGGGGGGGGGTTTAATATTAGGGGGATGGGATTATTCCAAGTATATGCTGGTCTCCGACCTGTAGCATCCCCGATGTTTCAGGGTTTGGGGTTTCCTGTGCGCATACCTAATTTGTGGGGTAAGGTTGTCAGTGTGGAGCTTGAGGCGCCTAGGTCGCCAGACTTTCCGATTTTCGGGGCACAAAAAAAACCTTCCTTTGATGGTCATAGTTGGGCTATAAGTACCATGAACCTCCAAGCAATGAGCAGTTTGGCATTGTTGAAATCGAGAAAGGCACCTTGAATTCTAAGTGCTGGAACTGCCCAGGGTCCTTGATCCAAAATCAGCGCAGCAAGCTCTGTAAGCCCGCTTCCCCAAACCTTCAAGACTTCAGGGGACGAGCCGCTCCAGTCGATGTCTACGGCATGCGGGTGCGCGTGGGCTTAGGGACTTATGTCTCTAGGGCATGAGGCTGTGAGTGTTAAGGGTGTCTTCGTGGACTCTTACAGCTTAACCGACATATAAGATGGAGGGCTACCTCCTCATGAGGTCGTTTGATATGTCGCTGTGTCACAATGGCGCTCCGCCTCATTTTCTTCTTGCTTGAAGCCGCAGCCTGAAACAATGCAAGCATCCACAAATAGTAAGAGCCCTGAATTTTCACATGACCCACAGCCGTACACTCCTGTGGTAGACTACGTCCTCCAGCTACGACTTTGTTATTGTAATTGCTTTTTTGTGCAACGGAAGCTGCCTGACGGTTTTTGTCAAGGCACCCAGCTAGAGCTGCTCTGAAAAAAACAGAAGTATGCTCAAAGACTGTATGTAAACACAGCTGAAAGTTCAGGGGCGACCCCAAAGTATGACCCCAAGCCCCGATTTCAGCTTCAACCTTAAATTACCCACTGTCCAAATCCCTACCCGAACTCGCAACCCTGAATGGCACACTTGCGCCGAAAACAACGAGCCACAGGCTGCGACTGCTGGTGCTCTGGGTGTGGCTATGGCCAGGGGCTCTGGAACATGAGAAGAAGAAGGATCTTCATCATGCTGGGTGTGTTTTCCCTTTCTCTTCTCCGCCTCCAAACTTGGATATCCTGTTTTATTTGGGGTAACGGGACCTGCAATGTAGATCCACTTGCGGGGTTTGTTTTGGATGCGAAGCAGGAAACGCTTGCACGTATGTTCACGGTTCGCCAAGATCACCTTTATATTGAGACCTTACAAGAGTCGGTGAAGCATGCCACTACACTGGGATGCTGTTAAGGAATGTACATTAAGTGAAGTTGCTATAATACGACAGAAGAAATTCTTAGTACTTACTACATACCCGTATTATGGTAACTTAGCGTAAGTTCATTTACGGCAGCCCCGTACACTGGTAGTGTGCGGAGGTGCAGGCTCTTATGAAGCCATGGTTAAAGGAAATCCTTCAAGTTTTAAACTGTCAAGCTTATCCGATCGCCGAGGAGTCTCCAAACCACTCACAACCCTCAATCCCTCCAGATGGCCCGGAAATATCACAAAGCCTCAATCCCTAGATCCTAGTTGCCTGACATCCAGAATGGAGTGTTAGCTTGGTGTCCTTTACTTGTATGTTTTGTGGCTTCCTCTTTCGTGTTCCTGGGCGCAAAAGCTGGGTCGCTTCTTGCAGCCCCACACTATCCCGTTGGGGTTGCCAAGGGGGCATCAGATTCCTTGCAGAAATTCGAACAGTTGGGGAGCATTTGCAGTAAACCCTTATGTGACAGTAGCCTCGACCCCAAGCCCTAAATCCCAAGGCCTAGACTAAACCCCTAAGCCCAAAATCCCACCAAACTAAATCCAAAGCCCTAAACCCGAAACCTTAAATCCCAAGGCTCAAACTAAACCCTATAAGCCCCAAACCCGAAACCCTAAATCCTAAATCCAAAGCCCTAAGCTGAAGCCTATGCCAGGCCCGGTGGCGCAAGGGAGGAGAGGCTTACGAGAATGCATGGGCCTTGGGCACTTAAATCAAGTTACCATAAGAAGGAAACCCTATGCTACACCATATGAGCTAGAGTCCAAACTCCTTAATTAAAGGCAGGGTTTATAGGGTATTATTTTTGGGAGTATTATGGGGTTTATTAAGGGGGATACTAGGAGTTTAGACCATGGCTCATATGTTCCTACTATAGAAACTTAATTCGCGTTCCTCAGTAGGATGTCAAGGGTGTGGCGTTTCGGGCTTATGATGCGAGGGGATCAGGAGTTTTGGGGTTGCTAGACTGTGCTCCCCCGCAACCCCTCTTCCAGCTTTTGGGGTCCTAATTTTTTTTTATGAAGCTGAGTCACCCCTAACAGGCGCTGTCTTCAGGTCCTCGGTTCTTGGGGTATCCTAGTAAGGGTGCTCGCAGATGTTGCGGATTTGCGATGCGTCGGCCTAGGTTCGCGATTTTGGGTTAACCGGTGCGTATCCATCTTGCTGAACCAGTATGCTAGCTCAGGGAACCCTTGTACTTGCTTTGCATCCTCAGGATCACATTACGACCGCCCACAGTTGAAAACAACAGCTGGACCTCGAAACATCCAAATAATGCAGCTACCATTACGAGGACAATCAAGGACATAATTTCCTCTTCCTTACAAAGTGGGAGGATGTCAGAGGAGTTCTGATTGTTGAGGACCTGGGTGCTTCAGGTCATTTCCTTTGGGGCACGTAAGGGCTTGCTTGAGGCTTCCTCCTGTCATTTGGATCCACTGTGTTTTCTGCTTCTTGGGCACCTTGCCAAAAATTTTTTTCAGCCTGAATCCAGCAGTTTGTGAGGTGAAGTACACGAGCTGCACTCAGACAAAGCACGGGACTCGAAGCCTTGCTTTGGCAGTTTTGAGAAGGATAGCAGTTAGTTGTTTGCACTGTCCTCAAACAGGGGGGTTCGGTGTGCCACATCAACCAAACAAAATTGAACTGTGCTGTGCAGCAAAGAGGTATTCGTTGAGGCAGTAGCAAGTGTTTGTTGGGGCCTCGCCGAGACCAAACTCGGAACCAGAGCCTGCTAACCCGGAGTATCTTGCAACCTGCAGTTCAAGGGCTGATCGGCCCAACTACCATTACTAGCATCTTCTGCGGCGCTCATTTTCATTTTTATTTCCCTGAAGCTAATGATCACGTGCGTGCAACATTTGCGTTGGCTTAGTTTCTTCGGGGCTTCGAGGGCATCATCCGCTCGCTTTGTCATACGGCTCCTTCTCTGTTGGCTGATTCAGTCAGAGTTGTGAAGTATATGAGAAGCATGAGGAACGAATCAGGGCTTACGCATGCGCAACACAAGCACTCCCCGCGCTGGCCGTTGGAACCCTTACCTTTTAAGTACCATCTCAAGCCACAAGGCAATGCCTTGGGAGCCTGATCCAAACGCTTTCATCCTGCACTGCCATCCTGCTGGCAGCCTGCTCAAAATTTAAATCAAAGCACAAACGATGCCATGCCTTGTTTATGTAAATCCACGCCAAGATCAGGGAGCCTTGAGAGATCCTGGTGACACCTTCCAGAGCTCATGTCACATGTAACCAAATTCCCAAAATATGTTTATGTATAATCTTTCGTTGCCCAATGAGTAATCTTGGTTGCTCTTCAGGAACCTAAGCTACGTTATTATCATGTTGTTATCTCCTAAATTATGTGGTTTGCTTTGAAATGGCAAAGTACGTGCACTTCCTTACCAGCAACCCAGTGACAGGGTCAGAAGGAGGCTTTGCATGCCGGGTATAACCCTGCATCCCTTAACCCAAAACGTAGTGACAGATAGGGGTAAATCCAAACCCGTAAGCCCCAAACCTGTAGACCAAGACCCCTCAACCTCAAACCCAGAACTGGACAGCCTTCAACTGTCTGGCATAGAGGCATCCTGTACGCTTGGTGGACGATCGGGAGCAAGTGTCCATCCTCTCTGCCTCCCAGGCTTTTGCAGGGTTTGGGGTTTGCGGATGAGGTTCTTTGGGTTTGGGGGTTCGTGCCCTGTGGTTGGGGATTCCTGTTCACAGGGTTTGGGGAGTTGGATTTGGGTTTTGGGGATTCGGATTTACACTTTGTGGAGTGCGGTCCGGTATTTCGCTTTGGCATTGCTGTATGTCCCTACTGTACTGGGTTGATTTGGGTTACTGTCCCGACTCTGGGTGTTTCTCTGGCTGTTTCTAGAACCTGTTCAGCCCTCGTCTTGTTCTTTCACACTCCTCAGCAGGTTCGAGATAGTCTCTTGTGAGCTTGGACTACAGCTTGAATTGCATTACACCCTCTCACAGTCGTCGGTGTTCTTAATTCACTTTCTGGCAGGAAGCCTTCAACCTCACCGGCGGCAAGAACCAAGCTCAGCACTTTAGGCCGAGCGATGGATCGCTAGAGAGCCCGGATGCAATCCCGAACAGTATGGTGATTTTCTGGGCTGTTTCCCATTCCCTAACCCTAAGCTCTAAATCGTAGGTTCGTTTCCTTTTCTTTACTTCATTCCCTACCAACGACCAGCTATTTTCCTTGAGGGGAGCATGCTCAGCTAGCTCCCTCAGTGGTAGGCCCACTCAGGAATGCGGGCCTTAGGGTTGAGGGTGCAGGAGCGCTTCTAGCCCACATGCTGGGGAGGTATTTGGTCAAGGTCAGAAAATTCAGCGTGCACGAGTCTAGATCAGGGAATCTCCGGTCTGGGTTACAAATAGGTAATCCAAGGCGCACAATTAGTTTTTCTGCTTTTGCTTCTCGCCCGTAAATGCGCGTGAATCGTCCAGCGGGCCGCCAAACGACCATAAATGTCAGAAATACGGCGTTTGCTGCCGTACCCCATGAATGCTGATCCCCAAATTCAGAAGATCATAAATTCAAGACCAAAGCTAATTCGACGAGAAAAAGGCATAGAAAACCCGTAGCAAGCTTGTAGAACGACCATAAAATGGTAAAGAAACCCATGGAACGACCATAAAAATCCGTAGAACGCCTGTTGCTCAGAGCTGCTCATCTAAACTTTCCTGGAGCAGATTTGGGGACAAATTGACAGGCTGAAAGCGTAAATCTGCAGCCTGCGAAGCAACCGCCCATAAATCTTAGAACCAGAAATTTGACCACAGTTGTCGCATAATAGAGAGCAAAACGACCACAAATTCACGATTTGGGATTTCTTGGTTGAGCTCCAGCTGATTTTCAGTGATCTGCTCACTCAATGCTTGCGTGTGGCAACCTGAGGCTGCCGCTTTCCAAACTTAAGGGGAGCACTTTTCATACTAGCACCGCTCAGTGCTTCACCAAGACCTGGTCCCAAGCAGTTATGGATTGCTGCGCAGGAATCCTATGCGTCCGAACCATATTAGCCCTAAGCCTGGAAGAATGGCCTTATTACTGCAAGCTTTGTTGTTCGTAGAGCTAAACGCCAAAATGGAATGTCAATTGCAACGCATCGATCGTGGCACCCTTGTATTTGGATGCACGCACGCAAAGTTCAAGCTCTGGCATGCAACCCTTTGCAACAGACGTCAAGACCTGGACCCGGAAGCTTCAAAGCGGGAGTGCCCAACAGGAAATCATCAGGCTTCAGATCAAATGGCCGGGATCTCCATAGGGACTATCTATACAGATGCCCTGCGGCTGGGATTCCCACTTCGATGTCGGGTTTAGGACCGACTGACCAGTTATGGCCTTCAACAGCCATAGCACAAAGGGACCAGAGGCTTAGAAAGCCCTGAAATGCGCAACTCCAGATAAACCCCGGGCGTCCTCTCCCCGTAAGGACATGTGCACCTTCCAGAGGAACGCAGTATAGCACTTGGTACCACATGATGTACTGAACAATGCTTCAGGAGGAGGAAGGGGTTGGATTGCAAAGGGGAGGGGATTGCCATCATAAGTCTGAATGTGGCTTGGGGCAGGATAGCCTTGCTGAGCAAGCTCAACAACCGCCAGCGGGACTTTGTTCACGCCAGGGCCGCGGTGCATGTAAAGGAATGCCGTGTTGGGCTGAAGCGGGTTCTGTAGGCATTGTGCAGGGGTGAGGGTTTGCAGCTTTGTTGTTTGTTTCCAGGAGTCAGGATTTCCTTTGTAGGTGCCCATCTCAAGCATACACGCATATAGTTAGCATAATGTTGGGCCCTGGGACGTTTCTTAAAGCTACATGGCATGGTCAGGACATAAGACATCTTCAGGACCTGCACCGAAAAGCGCACCGCAGCCAATGTCAGAGGTCTACTTTGTTTCCTGTTTGGCCTCAGAGGAAACATTTTACACTGGGGAGTCTTACTGGGACGTGTCAGACAGTCCTCCATGGTACCTTTTCCCAGAAGCCACAGGCATGCTGAGGTTGATCCGCAAGTCCACCTAACAGAGGAACAACAATCTTAGAGACGACATGAAAGGACCCTACTTCTCAGGGATCTATGCACTTCCAACCGTGCACCCCAACCCCAATAGAGTTTTCTGAAGGGGGGAATCACAGCCGGTCCCAGGCCACCTGACTGGGAAATCCTTCGCCATATGGAAACCTAAAAGCCGCAAAGGATCACCAGAGCCCTGAGCAAGACCCGAATGTGAATGCGATCTTGAAGAAGATCACGGAGGAAGACGATGAAGGCCGTGGCTTATTCTGGGGGTTTAAGGGTTTAAGGGTTTAAGGGATTGTATTTTAGCGTTTCAGGTGGCAAGGCTTCCAGGTTTTGAATCTATAGATCGGATCCCAGCCATCTCAATACTGGTTAGAATTGCTTTGTACAGTCCTTGTCATCCCTACATACCGTTATAATGGTCCCTAAATCATCACCTGTACTAATACCGATTCCCTCCCCCGCTCCCCATTAAGCAGCCTTTGAAGCAACAAATCACCGTAAATTCTCGCTCTGGAGCCCTATCTCCAGGCAGCAGACTCAAGAGCCTGAGGCGCTAAGCCCCTGAACCCTAACCCTCAGGATTCCTCCAGCATAGGTCAAGTTAAGTCTATTCCCGAAATCATGCAGCCTTTTGAACTTTCAACCCTCCTGGTGCGAGATATGGTTCATCAGAGAGTAAATGACTCTACTTCATCCGTGGAATCCTTGGGCCCTACACATCCATGCATTAGAATCTTGGTATGCTGCACCAGAAACCGCATTACCTNNCCCCCCCCCCCCCCCCCCTAAAAGGCGAGTCGCGGGATGATGCGTCAACTCGCGGAGGCTTGGCTGGGGCTTAGGCTTTGGGGTCGAGGGTGTTTTCTCCGTTGCTCTAGATTTCTAAGTTGGTGTCTTGCCAGGAAGCAGGTTGCCACGGGCTGGCCTCAGTACGTTCAGGCGGTATCCTTCGGATCATTCTGGAATTCTTTCTGGGATCTACTTACAAGAGGCAGGTTCAAGTTTTGGAGATAGGACCTGCGGGGCTGGAAGCGTGTTTGCGGTCACCCTTGCCTTTGCAGCCGCAGTCACTCGTACCCATGCTAGAAATTCCTTGTGGAGTCACTGTGCCCCGCATGTCAGGGGGACTTTAACCTACTTATCAAGTTCCCCTGACCCTCCAAGTATTCGCCAGCTAACTGTAGTATGGACGAATGCATACCGGCGCGCGAGAATGCACACCTTCTGGGCAATCCCCAAGATGGGTTTCGGATGGATGGCGGGGATGTGTGGATTCTGGGGGCCAAGGGTGCATTTTCGTGGATTTGAAAGCTTATGGCGTTGATCCTCCTGGCCGCACCGGTTTCCAAGCAAGCCTGCATCCTAATCCGTTTCAACTTGATGCTCAAAGGGTAGGACTTGCTCAACAACAGGAAGCTTCACAGTGCTTTGCAATTTGGCAATTGGGGAATAGTCGGCCTGTGTCACTTTCAAGGGCACGGCTACCACAATTGCGAAGATTTTGGCTATCATGCCATCACTAACACTAATCGACGAACGCATAAACCACTGAAATCAAGAGAAGTTTTAATCTCTTCCCACTGTCAGTCAGTAAACCCCGTGAATATTGAACGACACATCCGGAAGCCCGGAGGGCTAAAATCCTGGAAGACCATTGTTCAAAAAAGGGTGATTACTGTGGAATCAAATGGCTTCCTCCTCGGGAAGTGTTTGTTTGCACAAAATAGGCGCGAATAAGGATAATCGTATCTTGGTGGTATGTTGGGGTCACACTTCGAGAAAGTGTCTTCCCAAAGGCACTGGGAATGGCTCGAAGCCTCTGTCCCGCACTGCCTCACGTGGTGGCCTGAGCTGATAGCCCTGTGTGAGGTCTGTCTGGACGACTTGGGAGTGTCCCCTCTTTTGTGAGACATCCCTTATGAAGAAGTACGGGAATCTAGAAGAGGGAAGCACATTCAGGGCTCGGACTTAGGATTTAAGGTTCAGTGCCCAACTATAATCGCAGAAGCTGTACAAAGCCCGGAGCATTAGGCTTGTAGATCCAACATAATTGAGAAAAGTTTGCAGATCTTTCGCACGGTATAGGGTTCTCATAGAACCAAGGTCAGTTTCTACCAAAGCCCCATGGAGATGAAAACAGCGCCAGCCAGGCTCAACGGACAGAAGTATCTACATGAGATGCACCTTGCCCTCAATGCCTAAACCTTACTGGGGGTTAGTATATGCCCTACGAAGCACCAGTACGTCAAATACCTAAACGGAAGCCACACTTTGGAATGGAGTATCGCCTGCAAAGGCATAGGTACTTGGAATCATCGGATGCGTATTTGATGTACCTTTAGAAAGATGCACCTTTACTTCTATTTATATCCTTGCATAACCCTATATATCCCCATATATACCCCTATTATAAACTCTTGTAAATCTCCAGTTTAAGAATTTAAAGAACCTCGAACTCCTGACTTCTAATCCTGGACCCCCAGGCCATGGGTCAATTTTCGAAGTCAAGCCCTACAATAAGGACCCTATAACTATCACATGACGGGGCCCCTTTAGAGGGGATATAGGGGATACATAGAGACATCTAGGGATTATGCGGGGTTATACGGTATAAAACACAATTCTATAAGGGTTGGGTCGCTGACAATCCTCAGGCTTGAAATCCGCGCAGTCGAAGAACTCCTTGGCGGCATTGTCCAATGGAGGCAGCGTCCTTGGCCACGCAGATTTGGTACTTTTCCTTAAGTAGGGGAACCCAATATGGACCCCAATATACTATATAGTCCTTATTATAGCGACTCCTAATTTTGGGAAACCCCCATTTCAAAAGGTTTTCGTCTTCCACAATAGTACTGGGTTCTAGAATCTAGAATAAGAATACAATATTTTTCGCCTAGGGGCCTAGAAGTGTTGGGGCTGGAGATGAAAGTTAGGGGTGCATGCTTGAGTTTGGCACTGGCGCGCAGAGATCACTTTCAGATGGGATGTGGTAGTTATTGCAGATGGGGGGGTTTAATATATACACCAAAAGATAATAATTCATACCATAGATACGATCCAAGTATTGAGCATTCCATAGAACCCCTGCTCTGTTTTGATGGTGTACCTTTCCAGAAAATACCTTGACACAAGCGTAATCGTCTAAACATGCTTGACAATTGCTCCCTTGCCCATGGTCAGTATAAGACTACCCGTGTTCACTGGAAGGTCCCCGTAAAAATCCCTGCATCATCCTGTCCTGAATCCTAAGCCCGAACCTTCTCCGGCCCAAGATGGCACTCCGCCGATGTCGCGCTCCGTGTCTGCGTTGAAGTCAGCTGCCCAGAGGGCTTCAGGGCTTGACATGACCAGTCTACGTGTTGTTTGGGCGGTTTACGATGAGGCTCAGTTCAATATCATCTTTTTGTGGGACGCTTGCGGGGTTCCATGTTTTCTGGGGGAGAGGAAGAGGGCTTGAAGGTTCAATGGCAACCAGAGCGTGAAGGCACTAAGCGGGCCAGGGTACAGCGTTGGGGGTGCGATGCCGTCAGACAAGCTTTAATAAAGGGAAGCTCCGGCCGCTTCATTACCTGGGCCTACACCATGAACGCCTCAAAGACTGTGGAAGGCCTATGCGCCTATGGGTTCGATCCTGTACCTTCAACACAAACAATTTCCCAATACAGGAATGAGCCGTTGCTAATGTATAAGCCGATGGTCAGGTTCGCAAGAGTTGGCATCTCTCTTCGAAGGGTCTTCAAATCAGGCATTGCCAGATCTCACTGTGCCTTTATGTTTATGATACTTGCAAGTATGCTGTGTTCCTGCCTCCGCAACCCTACCCCCCTATAAGCGTAGGCGCGTATTTCAGACCCTAGAACTTCAAACCCCAAATCCCAAAACTGCGACAGTCTATATGTACCGCAAGCCCCAACCCTATAGTAGACCCTAAACGTGAGCGCCTAAACCGCGTCGAGGAATATGTCCAAAAGCGCAGAGCTCAGCGTTGTCTGTTTGGTGATTAGTCTCTCTTGGTTCACCGTGGGTTATAGGATATGGTGTTGAGGCAAATAGATTGTAGTCTGTGGATCCTCATTCTCTGTCAGGAGGGTGTAGTGGTTGGGCATTGAGGCATCAAAGATCCACGTGCAAACGCTCAACCCTGCTGCTATGTTTTGTGGAGGTGGTGAATTAGTTAGCTTAGGGCATTCCCGTTTTAGGTATATGGCGCCCCCATCCCCCAACCTGACAATACCATGTATGAAACATTCCTATTCACACTCTAGAGCCCCAATACCCGTATCTATCCAAGTGCCATAGCGCAAAACGGCGAGGGGTTCCTAATAGAATTTGGTTCAGGGTTTAGGGTCAAGGGTCGTAACTCTAATGTAATTACAAATAAATAGCTGCTTATGTATTACAATATGGTTTACTTACATTATAACTATGTTGATATTGGTTTCAAACGTGGCGGTTTGTTAAAATGTCTTGACCACATCTGAGGCGAGTAGCTAGAACTTCAAGTGTTATAGCAATAATGTTCTTTGCCGTTTGTTTCTCTGATCTTGTCTGGTCTGGGAACATCCTACTCAAAATCTGGACCTGTTAGCTTCTGAATATAATTCTGATGTGTTTGCGACTTTTGGTGCTGGGCTTGCTTGTATTTTCTTTATGTCGTAATTACATACAGGACATGCCACTACCTCGTCTTTGATTCTGTTCAAGTGGTTCTGTCTCCACTCTTTAACTTTTTGCGTGGTTTTGTGCTCTGTATTCTTTCTTTTGTTCTGCTATTTGTTGTTTATGTGTTTGACGACATTTTTTTACATCTCTCGCCACAAACATTACATGTATTATAATTCTCTTCAAATTTCTCAAGCTTCTGCATTATCTTACACTTACTGGAATATCTCCTACCTTCGATTACTCAATATACATAGGTGTCATTTCTGTAAGCACTGTAAGTGTGTATCCCGCCCAGATAGAAAACTCTGAAAGCCTTCCACAGGAAAGTCCGAATTATAGAGACCTTGCAGCTCTAACGAGCTAAGCCTCAAGAGTTCACAGTCTCGGGAGGCATGTCGCGTCAGCAATCGGGCCCGCAGCCGGCCCTTGAAGGCGGCAACCAGCCGTTAAGCACGATGCCCAAGGATGGGGAGTTGCATCAAGAACCTGAAAAGGGTAGTGTTTGGTCACTTACCTGCCTCAAACTCAACACCCCAATCCATAGACAAAAGCAGTCTGCAGGGTGCTTGTTTGGGAATTTCTCAGTATGATCTCTTTAAAACCCTGCAGGGGAACCCGACAAAGTCATTATTATCCCTGCATGTCACCACCGCTCCCAAGGGCATCCAGTTTAGCGACATCTCCTGTCTGGGGAGAGCTGAGATTTAAGGCTGAACTGCTTGGGGTTAAACATGCGGGTCGGCAGTACAGAGCCTTGGATTCCAACTTGTGGATTCCCTGCATGAAGCTGCAACCTTAAGCTCCAAGTTCTGACCCCGTAAGTCCTGAGCCCTGAAGCCTAATATACTATATTAGTTTCCATTTTCTTTTCCATAATCCCTGAGCCCTGAAGCCTGAACCCTTCCTATCCGGTCCACACTTTGAAACCCTAGGGGCCAGGACTGGCCGGTTTGACTTGATGTGATTCCCTGCGTGCTTTCTGTATTCCTAATCTGCAGGCTCCGGAGTAGCGTGTTGTTTGTAGAACCTCCAATTCACCAACTCTAAGCTCATGTGAGCCATAGCCTAAACTCCTTAAAGGGGGTTCTATGGGGGATTATATAGGGGACTATTATAGGGGGATTTAAGGGGGATACTCGGAGTTTAGACAGTGGCTCATGTGGATGCTGTTCTGGAATCTAGAACCCTGTCTATTGCAGGGAGAGTAATGGCGGCATTAGAGTGTGAAAGCCACTTGCGTGCGCGAGCTTGTGCTGGAGCGGGTGCACGCAACAGTACTTCCTCACACATTTTGACAGCGCATATATGTACATTATGTTGAAATGCGTGTACATTTTCCACCCTCGTAAGACGTTGCGAGGGCGGGCGCAAGGATACCCTGAAGCTGGGACATCGGCACTAGATTTAAATAGCATCCGTATGCTTTAGGCCATACAGTCCGCAGTCTGCCATCAAAGGGGCCCCAGATTCTCTTGCTTGCTCCAAGGTCTACAAGGGCCTGGGTCAGGGCCTCATGATCCAGTCAGGCCTCTTGTTTGCGGGGGTGGGGGGGGGGCTAGAGAATTTATTTGATCAGCAAAGGGCTGTTCCTGACTACGATTTCAACACATCATGGGGACGATGGTAAGCTTGCTGTTGCAGCCGGCGTTTTCTAGTGTTGATCCCAAGAATTCCTGCATCACCTTATTATACCATATTACCATAATCCCCAAGGCATTAGCAAGGCACTTCGGACTGTGTAGCGTCCTGCAGGTCGCTTCCAACTGCCATTAGAAACCTTGAGCGGCGCTCAATTTCAGATGACACATGATGCATTTAGCGCAACTAGGTCTGAAATTTAGCGTTCGGTTGTCTTTGGATCAGCGCGTATTTTCTCAGCCAGGGCAATCAGCCTAGTAGGCGATTCCCGTATTGGATTGAAACGATGTTGTCCGACCCTTTTCCCGACCCTGACCATACGGTAGGGTGGATACTAAAAGCCTTGCATGACCCTAACTACCTTAAAGCTTGGGAATTATTTCCGTACGAGATCATTTCCAGCCCCTGCGAAACCCTACGTACATATTCCTTCGATTGCACGAAGCTCTGTAGCAGCTGCTTTCGGAGGGGCATGCGGTCGAAGAGCAATCTGTCTGTTGCGCTATGGCCTCGGAAAGGTGTGTGGTTGAAATTTGTGTTGTAAAGTTTTCGATCAGGGGTTGGGGGTGATTGATGTTGAGTTCGGATACCTGCGATTCAGGGCTTCGGGCTGGGGTCCAGTGGTTGTAGTTTAAGATTTAGTCTTTAGGGTTAAGATGGGCAAAGGGGATAATGGTTTCAGTGACGGCAGGTTTCGGGTAAGGCGTTTGAGCTGCAATAGGATCACAGCGTCCTTGGACCACGTGGAACAAGCACTCTAAACCTGAACCCCAGATCTTCAATCCTCAGCCGTTGAAGTTTGGTTTTTTTCTGGTTTACTTGGGGCTGGTCAGTAGGTGCAAGCATTCATCTACCCTACCTCCTGGAAGCCTTAACGCCATTGCACTTCGAGAAGGCTGTTCCTATGAAACTGAACTTGAGAGAGATGCTTGTAGAGGTCTGGGCAGTTTCTAAAGTTGAAAAGGGGGTAGTACTGCGGATACGCTCCCTTAAGCTGGTTTGAGCTTGCAATTATAGACTTAGCAGGGAGACGTCGGATTGCATCCCAAGTCTTCTGCTGAACCCATATCTGATACACCCGTACAGCCTGGATCCCAACCCCTCGGCCTCAGAAACCAGACTCTAACTTGCCCAAATCCTGAAGCAAATGCCCTAAACAGTTTCCCCTAGTGAACTTTTCTGCAAAAGCAATCAGGGATAGCCCTGGCAAGCGGCAGCCTACGACCGGCACGATCGGGACACGGCTTGTGGTGTTGCTTGCGATCTTTGCTAGTTAGACATAGGCTGAACAGATTTGTACGGGGCATGGGTGCATCATTTTATACAGTGTAATCTTTTCATTTTCTTACCCTGAATTCCCCCAAAGTGCCTCACCACTTAGCCCTCCAGACCCTGAACCCTAACCCCTGTACTCTGGCCTCTGAACCCCCCACACCACAAAAAGACATCCGACAACTAAATCTATCAAAGTTCCCAAACCCCAACCGCTTTTACCAGGACGCTTCGAGACCCCACAGAGTCGATCACCATCGATCCACCCGCACTGCTGCGGCCTGGCACAAAAGTTTGGTAAGTAAGTGAGAGAGTCTTGGTTGTGGGGTGCTCGAGAGAGTTTGAGTCTTGGGGGCTTTGGCTCACGGGGGTCGCGGCTATCTCATTTTGAATCTCATGATAACATATCCTGATTTTCTTTCACGTACTCACCCTCTCTCCCTATCCATTTTTCTTTAACTGCTGTCATTCCCTTGTTACGGTTCGCTTCAACTGTCTTAGAAATGTTTGGTATACTCATGCTCTGAATGCGTAAGCACCTCTGCGTGTTTTCGTGTTGGCTTAGGCAAGAAACCAAAGCAAGCCCTTTGTCAGGGTTCTGGGAAGGCTTGTTAGGCGGAAGGGGGCCAAGCATGCACCAAGGCTTGTGCTTCGGGATGTTGGTTTAATTAGGACCAGAGCAGGAGGGCACGGACTACAAGAAGTTTGGGCATGACACGGATGAGTGTGGACCTTTAGTTCTTATGACCGTGGGTATTAGGTTGCTAGGTTTCAATGCCGGAAGGTCAGCCCCCATCCATCCATGCTGTAGCCCCCAACCCTTAGCCGTACAGTCCCTCCACTGCATCTCTCCCAAGGGATGAAAGGCCGGCATCACCCTGACAGGCTGGGAATCGGTTGGGTACCAGGTTTATGCAGCTCATGCGGTTTCTACAGCCAGCGTTTCAGGGCTCAGTGTTCAGGTCTCATAGAGGTATTATACAGGGATGAAGATTATTTAGGGATCATCACGGTACATGAGGATAACGCCCGGTCTGTTCTCTGTTGAGTTATCCAGTTTCAAAGTATTGCCAAATAAAGCACCTGATATACCATCCCCCAAGCCAGCATGCAAAACCCAACAGCAGTCCTCCTTCAATTGCCTTCCGTGTTAGTTTCGGGGAGGGGACGATCCCGTGGATCCCGATCCGACATTAGGTCGGTTTTCCGAGTGCGAGTGATTTTGGCGCGTTGTATTGTTATAGCGGTGGGGTGGGTTGGAGGCGCTTGGATCAGGGTTCGTTGCAGGTTGCCCCTGACGCATCAAAGGCGAGGGCTGAGGGAAGAGCTGCATTAGCGCTGCCTGGCCGAGGCAATGCAAGAATGTTCCTGCAGAAGTCTGCATAATTACCAGCATTCTCCCCTCATGAACTGTGTAGAATCCTGCCCAAATTCCCAATATGCGTAGTGGCTTAACAAGCAGAACAAGCAGCATGCGGCCTTCAGAAATCCCCTCGAAGTCCCGATGCAAGAGACGGGGAGTAAGGCACACATGTCCTTAAGCATGCCTGATAGAGTTGGACTAGCCTCTAGTTGTTAGGGCGTAGATCTCGAGATCAACTCGGAAAGTCCTCAAACATGTGAGCTCCCTCCCCGAGGCCACCACCTTTTTGGGGTTCAGGTTCCATAGGAGGACCCTGGTTTTGAGCAACTCCCAAACAAAATGGCTCAGGATGGACTGTTGCATCAGTGAGCTTCTTCTCGGAAGTGTCCTTGCTTTTCCTGCATAGCTATGGTTTTTTTTGAGTTAGTCATGGAGCTACAGGTAGTAAGTTTTGATAACCACCAAAATTCATCAAGAACATGCCCTCCCTGTCGATGATTCCTCTCAATCAGGTTAAAGAAGCTTGAGGTATGAAAGAGGATGTCTAAGTAGCTCTGACAGAGAAGCCAAACAGGTTGACTGGCTGACCAGTTTGCCAGACGTTTGCCAGACAAGAAGTGTTTCCTTTTAATTAACATTGGCATGCATGTTACAAAGGAGCCCCAGAAAGCCACAGGTGAAGTGTAAGCCTTGGATTTGGAGAGCTTCTGGACAGCTTCACACGTTTTCCGCTTTTTCTCGCCAAAGCCACAGAGAGTTCTTGGCAAGCATGAGGGCCGGTGTCCGTGCGTAACGTCCTTTGTACCAAGATTTGCCAACATGGGGAACCCACCAGAAATGAGATTCTAAGATTCTATCTCGCCAGCTTGTAGAAGCTGTCATGCTCCATTGGCGATCAGGATACAGGGCTTGGGAAAGGTTATTGTTTAGTGTTCGGCATTGCCATCCAAAGCTTGCAAGCAAGGCCCACCTGGACACATTCAGATTGCCCTTAGAGAAGTCGTGGGCAACGACAGATTGGATAAGCATGGGATCAGCCTAGGCCCCGTATGCTTGCCAGCAGAAGCCCTCCATATGAGATGTGGGCCTGCTCGCGAAATTAGTTCAGGTTTGATCCTGATGATACGGGCGCCCAAAACATCCATTTTTGTTGAAAACCCGACTTGCTTGGCCTGAACTCTATAGAGAGATCACAGAGCCGGCCCTCATTGCTGATTGATCTCCATGACTTAAAGATGTGCGCGCCATAGCAATGTGGGAGGCTGTCAAAGGGCAGTACCAGAATCCGGAATCTTAAAGTATCTCTCCGGCAGCTTCCTTGGCTTCATGAAAAACTTTGCAGCTTGCCCAGTTTCTCTGATTAAAGTTTATGATCTAAGGTTTAGGGCTCAGGCGGCTGCCGAGCACGGAGAAGTGTTCATGAATCACTTGCTTCCAAAGACGAACACATTCTTCAGATGTATGTTGGCTGACAACACGAATTCGCAGAGTACAAGTTCGAGTGTAAGAAAGCTGGCAGATGTCGTCGCTCAAAGTACTGACTTATAAGAAGTGGTTCTTTGCTGCTAGGGGGTTTAAAAATGCAGAGGGCCCCAATTCAGTGGCCTGCATAGTTAGTTGGGTCCACTCGTAGTTGGGTCTGCTGAAGCTCCAAGCGCTGAGCCGCCTTGGGGGTGATCAATGTTTGATGGCTCTGCACTTGTAACCAGAGTTACACTACTGGGATCCGGGTGTTTCCTGATCATGTGTAATTAGTCTTTGTGTCGCTGCCTTGAGTACTGACACTTGCGTTGCCACCTGCTGTTTGAGTCCAAACCGAAAAGACCAGGTAATCCCTGAAGCTGTACGTGTTGACATCGAGTCACAGGTGAGCATGTGCATAGAACGTCAGAGATTTATTCTTTACAGAAACGTGCTGGCCTCCCAGATGGCAGCGCGCACCAAGGAATTGAATTGCACGCGAACTGTTGGCCAAGCCATACAGTTCACATCATAAGCAGCACGGACTCAAACGTTCATCTTCCTACCAAAAGACGTGCAAATTTTACAGCCCGCACTCGACTTTAGTCATTTGATCCCAGATCCTGAGTAGATATTCTGGGCTTCGTAACTATTCTTATCGAGGTTTTAACCTGACGTATGGCCCCCACCTGCCCTGTCTAGGTTGCCCAGTTACAAGTTTAATGATGACCGAAGTCATATGTAGCAACCAAGTCCATGAACCTCCACGTAATGTAGGCTCTTGTTGAACATCGACAATGATTTCTTTGGTTCACAAATACTCTTTCATCCCTCGGCCTGCCTAGTAAGGAAAAGCCATGCTCTCATCAGGAAATGCCCCACAGGCTCGTTTTGCAATTATGCCACTATAGATTTCGCCTGTGTTTCGTAAGATGCGTACCTGAAAGCCCACCCTACCATGGACCTGCAGCTGTGTGAGCCGGACTGGAGTGCAGAGCTTTCGACATCCGAGGAGTCTGAGGGCAGCTGGAATGCAGAAGGTTTAGTGTTTAGGATCCCCAGCTTTTAATGACATGTATGTTTGCCGTCTAGTTTCAGGTTCTGAGTCCTTTTCAAGATTTCTGCATGTCTCTGTACTACTGAATCGGATTGTTCCTTCAGGGTTTTGGGCTAGTCAGATCGTCAACTTGGACTAGGCTTACCCTCTCATCAGGAAGGCATGAAGGATTCATATCCGTGAAATCCATGCATATGCTGCTAACCGGTTGAAAATCCTACACTCGTAGTCCCTAAATCCCGAACGAACAAAACAAGTTATGTATTGTCAAAGCTCGTGTCCAATTTTGCAACCCTATGATATTATGGCCCTGAATGTTTAGCGTACCCAAAATGGGACCGTAACTTTGACAACAGCTTACATCGGGGTTTTAGCGAGGTTATGAAGGGATCACATAGGGACACTGTGCCCAAGGAATGGAGAATCGTGAAACAGAGCATTGAGAATGACATGGAAACTGTGCGTGGATGTTAAAAATCCCGCATGACCCTAGAAGGTACCTTTGGAAGTCTGATACTCAAGTATACTAAGGCCATGCGGGAATTCAATTTTGAGCAGTAGTTGAGCCTCAACGCCGTCGCATGCCAAGATATAGTCGTGCGGCTTCAGCTTCGAAATTCTGACCAGCCTGAGTGCGGATCTCTAAAAGGTTTCCTTCCTGCTAGGCTACACTTACGAGGTTTTTGCTTTCTGCCCCCTCGCGTTGACTGGAGAAGTTTATGCCAGGCTTCTTGAATCAAACCCAGTGACGCCTAACTCCCTGAACTCTCAGTGCCTTACATCCCAAGCCTTGTAATTATAATCCCAGTTTCCTTTTCATTGTCCATCGTCTTTTTCCATTTGATTCCATTATTGGGCTTCAATATCCTTATATACTCGTTTATATCCCCTCTAAAGCCGTTAAGCCCACATCAGCTCCGCGATGTTCCGTTGGCTGTAAGCACACAGACCCTGCGACACAGCAGATGCTGATCAGAACTCCTGAATTTTGCACAGTACCCCCTATGGCAACTGTTGGCCCTAAAATTCATGGAGGGAGTGGCCGAAATCAACAAGAAAAGGTGCAAAGACAGTTTGGATCAGCAATGTTACGGCCGTTCTGACGCAGGCACGGAGCCCTGCATCAAGTGAGGCCATGACAGCGGCGAAGCGTTAAAGGAAAAACGTCGGGTTTGCGGGTTCAGGGTTTGAGTTTCTTTACGGCTTAAAGTTGAGGTTGGGTGTGGGTTAAGGGAGTAGGGCTTTGGATGTAGGAGAGTTGAGGCAGGCAGGTTTCAAGCTTGGACCTGAAGACGTCACTCCCGGCATTATGCAGCGCCTTCACTAGACAGGTTCTAGACCCTACTCCTTGAACCGCACCACCTGGGAAATGCTCAACTTTGAGAAGTTCTCTTCCAGGCCTGGGTGACTCTGATTTTCCCATGACCATATCCATATAGTCTGTCCGTTTCGACCAGGTAATCCCTGTGCATCACTCAGATGCCCATCCGCATGCCACAATTCACCTTAAGCTTTAGACCCCCAAACCCCAAACTCAAAGCCTGATTCCGGTGGGCTCAAGTGCCCCATCTGTTGGGCCCACTTCGCCCGCCCTGCGGCGACGTGGGGCCAGGGGAAGCAATGAAGTTCGCTCTGGCAGGAGGGGAAATGTACAACTTAGAGGGTTCAAGCGGTTTGCGGGGATCTGAGTTTAGGATTTCGAGTTTGGGTCTCTGATTTTTTTGTGCTTGTTTCTCTCTTTAAGTTTTGGGGTTCGCCTTAGGTTAGCGCCTCGCCTTGCCTGCCTGCTTTCGGCACGCTCGTCGCACGCAGCGGTAGTGCCTGCGCGCCGCCGCGCCTTTACAGCCAGTTTTTTTAAGCATCTTTCTTGGAAAGGGGTTTTCCCCGTTATCGCGCGCCAAAGGGCTGCAGCGAGCAGTTGTTCGCGCTCCCGATTGGGCTGAAGGCTTTGAAGTTGTGGAATTACGTTTCTGGTTGCAGGCTGTGTGCGCAACGGGTTTC